TGATAATGATAATATGATAGCAACCAGTACATACAACATCACTTAAGTATGTTTACTTTTTCGTTTTTCTTTCTTCTCCCAAAATTTCACCTGAGATATTCCGGGATGAGATTTTATGAATTGATAATGATAGTACATGATAAAAATGATAAATGTAATATTAGACAATTTTAGGATATAACTTTATTTTTGTATCATTCAAATTGAAATTATCATTTAATTACAATTATTTCACAAAATTATCAATCATTTGATTAAATTCAAATATTAAAGCATAGATGTTAAACAAATTTAATTAATTAAATTCATGTTATATTAAAATTTTACTAATTAAAATTACTATTATAAATGATAAAATTTAATAAAATATTTTAGGGTTGTAGCTGAAAATGATATATTTGAAACGGATGATTTACCATTACGTGGTGATATTTTGGTTAAATGTTTTCAACGTACGAATACCACTGAACGTTCGCTATTTTTTCGATGCCAATTTAATACTTGCACATTTGATTTATCAATTCATCATGAAAATATCTTTAAATTACGATTTTATCGCGAAGAATTAGACAATATTTTAATGGTAAATAATTAAATTGATTTAATTAATTAATTTAATTTTAATTCATCATGAAAATATCTTTAAATTACGATTTTATCGAGAAGAATTAAACAATATTTTTATTGGTAAATAATTAAATTGATTTAATTAGTTGATTAGTTTTGATTGTTTTTTTTCCATACAAAATATACAATAGAAATTTTCTTTCATACCTAATTTAATATCTAACCTTGTTTTCATTCTTTTTTTTTATTCAAGATAAACTTTTTTTTTTAAATTAAAAATTTCCTTTTTCGTTTTTTTTTTTTAAAAAATTACCGTTTTAATTTGAAATTTACAGAATAATAATGATAATTTAACATTTTGACAAAGTTATTAATTTATATTCCAAACATATGGTTGTCGGCTTTAAAATTATAAATTAAAATTTAAAAAAAGAAAATGATGGAAAATAAGCAAAGCATAATCACAGATATTTCCTAGCATACAACACTGATATTTTTCTTGCAAATTTGACGAATATCTTTTGCATCTGAACAATATCTAAAAATTTTTGAAATTCGATATTAAATTTAATAAATATTTTTTACGCTTAAATAATGATTAAAGATTTATTAAAATTAGCAGTCAATTTCATGATTTAAACATTTTGAATGCTTCTATAAATGATTTTAATCAATTACAATAATTGGATTCAATTATAAATAATAGTTTTTCAAACTTTTATTCATTGCTACATTGATGAAAATTGCCATAAAATTGTAATTGAATCAAAATAATATTTAATAAATGAAGTATTAGCCAATTTATTTTACTAATAATCTTGGCAAGCGCATAAATTAAACGGAACGGAATGTGACATTAAATATCCGTTCCGGAATGAAATTCGTTGCATAATAAATATATGTGTTAATATGATTGTTACAATAATATTACGATTGATTTTTGATTAATTCTTACAATACCAAAATTTTTTTTTTTTCGCAAATAGGATGTCACAGTTTTGTGATGAAAAAAGTTTCATTTTAATATATTTTCTTCACTGATTATCTTTTATTCATTATTTCATTAACAATTTTGATATTAATAATAATAATAGCAATAATAATAATAATAATAATAATAATAATAATAATAATAATAATAATAATAATAATAATAATAATAATAATAATAATAATAATAATTAATAATAATAATAATAATAATTAATAATAATAATAATAATAATAATAATAATAATAATAATAATAATAATAATAAT